GATCTCTTGACCTAGTGATTCGCCCGCCTCGGCCTCCCAAAGTGCTGGGATTACAGGCGTGAGCCACTGTGCCCGGCCAGTTTTTTCTTTTACTGTGGTGTCTGTCTCATTTTGGCATCAGGATAATGCTGGCTTCACAAAATGAGTTTGGAAGTGTTTTCTATTGTCCATCACTTTGCCGTTAACTTTTCTAATTTAGTATATACAAGAAGAACAATGCAAAAATCGTGTTGATACTGAAAGTTACTAAGTAAAACCTGCTAAAATGGCACCTGGGTACTGTTGCCATGGGGACAGGCAAGGAGAAGAATGAATGTAGCTTGAATTCTTAGAAAGACAGTATGTGAGTTGCTCTTCAGTAAACTTGTGATGAAAATATCTTAAATGGCTATTTTTTTTTAACAAAAACAAACAAAAAGCGGCAGCAGCATTAACAAGGGCAAAGAACATCACCAAAATCCTAAATCAAATAACTTCAGCTCAGTTGACCTTTGATTTGTGTGTGCTTGTTCCTTATGATAATTACCTAAGTTCCTCTGCAAAGCAGTGAGCCTGGGAGGCATGACATCTAACATGGGTGCAAATTAAACCCTCACTCCCACCCCAGCCTCCTCAGCCTCTATCTCTGAAGAAAATATGGGATTTACCTAACGTCTATTCAAATAGTGTATATTGAACTAGAAGACAAGAAAGGGATTTTGCATGTTAAGCTGCAGCTGGCATAAGAAACACATTCATTCTATCAGAAAATTGGGTAATCTGGATTATAGTCCTGGCTTTGGCACTGCCATTGGCATAGCAATGTATTTCAGTGTGTGTGTGTGAGGGGCAATTTATAAGTATCTGCAGTTCTCAGGCTCCACCTTCCAAGGAGGAAGGGTGCTTTATACAGACTGGAGTTGTATTATGCATACCCCTGAAAGGATGAAGTTGAGAGAGTTGGATGGAGTTGAAAAAGGCCAAAACAATTTACATTTGAAAGAAACAAATACAATATTCCTCAGAGAGGAATGGTTCTGAACAGATGAAAGGAGGAGTGAAAACAGAAACCCAATGAAGCTGATTTGGAGAGATGGAAAAGTATAGGGAAGAAAGGATTTTTCTTTTCTTTTCTTTTTTTTTTTTTTGTTGAGACAGGGGCTTGCTCTGTTGCCCAGGCTGGAGTGCAGTGACATGATCTCAGCTCACTGTATCCTCCGCCTTCTGGGGTCAAGTGATCCTTCCACCTCAGACTCCTGAGTAGCTGGGATTACAGGCGCAAGCCACTAGGCCTGGCTAATTTTTGCACTTTTTATAGAGACAGGGTTTCGTCGTGTTGCCCAGGCTGGTCTCAAACCTACTCCTGGGCTGAAACCTACACCCACCTTGGCCTCTGAAAGTGCTGGGATTATAGGCGTGAGCCACTGCTCCTGGTGGAGAATTTCTTTAAGTTTACATACACTGCAATGCGCCCATTATAAATGTACCATCTGATGAGTTTTGACAATCGTACTTTTAAACAATATTATGGGAGGCTGTTGTTTTAGGCTGAGCTCCTGTGCTAGGCCCCAACAGACCAGACCAAACCAAAATAGAGTCACTTATGCTAAATGCCACATAACCACACTGAAACTTCAAGGAAGCAAGCAGATAGATCCCCAGCCAGACCAGTTTTTTGAGAACAGGAGATTCCAGTCTACCTGAGTCAGCATAATAAGGAAGTTCCTCTGCTTTAACTTTTAGAAAAAAAAAGTAACCTGATATTAATCAGTGCTATTGTTCTATTTCCTTGTTTTCATCTCACAAACCCCAGTGTTCTGCCTTAGCTCGGTGGGAGTTCTCATCATATTTTGTAGAACGGAGGCTGTCCCAATTCACAAGTCTTGAGCAAAGCTAAACAGATCTATAACCAAATTTGTGGTAATTTTGTCTGTTGACAGTATATAGCTATGTAACTACTACTGTGATTAACATGAGCATTTCTGTCACTCCACAGAAGTTCCCTTCTGCCCAGTCTTCTGTTACTAAAGATTAGACTTGTCTTTTCTCATTTCATATTAATAGAATCACACAGTATGTACTATTTTGTGGTTTCTTTTGCTCGTTGCAATATTCTTGAGATTCATCTAGGTATCAGTAATTTGGTTCTTTTTATTGCTGATGTGTTTATTGCAGGGATATATACAACTTTTTATTCAACTACTGATAAACATTTGAGTTGTTTTCTGTCTGGGACTATTATGGCTAATGCTATTATCATTAGTATACAGATTCTTGGACATCAATTTTTATTTCTCTTAAAGAAAATACTTAAAACTGCAATAGGGCCGGGCGCAGTGGCTCACAGCTGTAATCCCAGCACTTTGGGAGGCTGAGGCGGGTGGATCACCTGAGGTCGGGAGTTCGAGACCAGCCTGGCCAACAAGATGAAACCCCGTCTCTACTAAAAATACAAAAAATTACCTGGACATGGCGGTGGGTGCCTGTAGTCCCAGCTGCTTGGGAGGCTGAGGCAGGCGAATTGCTTGAACCTGGGAGGCGGAGGTTGCAGTGAGCTGAGACTGTACTCCAGCCTGGGCAATAAGAGTAAAACGCTGTCTCAAAAAAACAAAACAAAACAAAACAAAACTGCAATAGCTAGGTTAGATGGTAAGTGTATGTTTGACTTTATAAGAAATTGCCAAGCTATTTTCCTGAGTGGGTTATACTGCTTTACATACTCCTCAGCAATGTATAAAAGTTTTGATTGCCTTAAAGCCTCTTCAACACTTGGTATTTTCAAGCTTCTTTTTGTTGTTGTTGTTTTGTGAGATGGAGTCTTGCTCTGTTGCCCAGGCTGGAGGGCAGTGTCGCAATCTTGGCTGACTGCAACCTCCGCCTCTTGGGTTCAAGTGATTCTCCTGCCTCTGCCTCCCAAGTAGCTGGGACTACAGGTGCACACCATCACGCCTGGCTAATTTTTGTATTTTTAGTACAGATGGGGTTTTACCATTTTGGCAGGGCTGGTCTCAAACTCCTGACCTCAAGTGATCTGCCTGCCTCAGCCTCCCAAAGTACTGGAATTACAGGCATGAGCTACTGCACCCGGCTCTCAAGCTTCTAATTTTAGACATTCCAGTGGGTGTATAGAGGTATCTCCCATGGTTTCAATTTCCTTTCCCTAAGGACTGATGACTTTGTGCACCACTTCCTGTGCTTATTTGGTATTTGTATAGCTTCTTTGTTGAAATGTTTTTTTACCCATTTTAAATTCGGTTATTTATTATTATTATTAAGTTGTAAGAATTATTCATATATTTTCAATATTAGTCTGTCAGATACTGCAAATATTTCCTCTCAGTCTATGGCTGGCTTTTGCATTTTCTTATTTGTGTTTTTTAAAGAGCAAAAAAAATTTAATTTTGAAGTCTATTTGTCATTTTTTTTCTTTAATGATCTATGTTTTGGTGTCTTTTTGTCTATTGATGAGACAGAATCTCACTCTGTTGCCCAGGCTGGAGTGCAGTGGTGCAATCACTGCTTACTGCAGCCTTGACTTCCTGGGCTCATGCCATTCTCCTGTCTCAGCCTCCCAAGTAGGTGGAACTACAGGTGCATGCCGCCATGCCAGGCTAATTTTTATATTTTTTGTAGAGACATTGACGAGGCTGGTCTCAGTCTTCTGGGCTCAAGTGATCCACCCACCTCAGCCTCCTAAAATGCTGAGATTATAGGTGTGAGCCACTGCACCTGGACTTTTTAGAAATTTTAGTGTTTTCTACATATGTCATCAGCAGACAGGGATAACTTTATCATTTTCCAGTTTCTATGCCTTTTATTTTTTAAATTAAACTTATTTTAATTGATAAATAAAAATTGTACATATTTATCATGTGCAACGTGATTTTTGAATTATGTATGCATTGCAGAATACGTAAACCAAGCTAATTAACATGTATTACCTCACCTACGTATCCTTTTTGTGGTGAGAACACTTGAAATCTACTCTTTTAACAATTTTCAAGAATAAAATACACTGTTACTCATTAGCGTCACCATGTTGTACAATAGATCTCTTGAACTTGTGCCTCATATCTAACTGGCCAACATCTCAAACCTCCACTGCTTTATTTCTTTTTCTTGTCTAATTGCTCTGGCTAGAACTTCCAGTACTATCTTGAATAGTAGTGATGATAGTGGGCATCTTTGCCTTATTCTTGGTCTTAGATGAGCATGTGATTTTAATTGAGCATATTAATCACTTGGAAGGCATCACAAAATTCTATTAGATTATCCTCTTGATATTTGCTTTTTAGCAAATCATTACATTGTAGACAATCTCTTCAAATTAAAGGTTATGTGGAAGCTCAGGATTACACAGTTAAATGGTTTTTGAAAGATGTCAATTTCCTTTGTACTTGCACTGAGGTCTACAACATACTACTGGGACTATAGTTTGAACTTGAATAATATATCCAGTGCACACTTGTGTCAGGATGAAGATCTCACTTCTTATTTTAGCTTTTGTTAGTACCAGAAGTAGACAAAGCAGATTAACATTACTTATGATTCAAACATTAGTCGTGGTCAAAATGACTGTCTTAGTCTATTTGTGTGGCCGTAACAAAATATCATAGAGTGGGTAATGTATAAAGAAGAGAAATTTGGCAGGGTGCAGTGGCTCAAGCCTGTAATCCCAGCATCTTGGGAGGCTGAGGCAGGTGGATCACCTGAGGTCAGGAATTCAAGACTAGCCTGGCCAACATGGTGAAACTCCGTCTCTGCTAAAAATACAAAAATTAGCCAGGCATGATGGGTGCCTGTAATCCCAGCTACTCAGGAGGCTGAGGCAGGAGAATCGCTTGAACCTGGGAGGCGGAGGTTGCAGTGAGCCGAGATTGCACCATTGCACTTCAGCCTGGGTGATGAGAACGAAACTGTCTCAAAAGAAAACCAAACAAACAAAAAAAGAAGATAAATTTATTTCTTACACTTCTGAAGGTTGAGAAGTCCAAAATTAAGGAACCAGCAATTGGTGTCTGGTGAGGGTTGCTGTCTGCTTCCAAGATGGTGCCTTGTTGCTGTGCTCTCACCTGTTGGAAGGTGGAAGGGCGAAAAGGGATTAAGCTAATTCTCTGAGCCCTTTTATAAGGCAATAATCTATTTATGATGGTGGAGCCCTCATGACTTAATCACTTTCCCAAAGGCCCCACCTCTTAATACCATTATAGTGGGGATTGTATTTCAATATGAATTTGGGAGGGAATACAAATGTTCAAACAGTAGCAGTCCACCCTGGCCCCTTCAAATTCACGTTTTTCTCATATTCAAAATATAGTAATTCCATCCCAACAGCCCCCAAAAGTCTTTTTTTTTTTTTTTTTTTTGAGACGGAGTCTTGCTCTGTCGCCCAGGCTGGAGTGCAGTGGCCGGATCTCAGCTCACTGCAAGCTCCGCCTCCTGGGTTTACGCCATTCTCCTGCCTCAGCCTCCCGAGTAGTTGGGACTACAGGCGCCCGCCACCTCGCCCGGCTAGTTTTTTGTATTTTTTAGTAGAGATGGGGTTTCACCGTGTTAGCCAGGATGGTCTCGATCTCCTGACCTCGTGATCCGCCCGTCTCGGCCTCCCAAAGTGCTGGGATTACAGGCTTGAGCCACCGCGCCCGGCCAGCCCCCAAAAGTCTTAACTCATTCTAGTATCTACTTTAAAATCTAAGTTCAAAGTCTCATCTAAATATCATCTAAATCAGATATGGATAAGACTCAGGGTGAAACTCAAAATATGACTCATTTTGAGAAAAATTTATCTCTAACTGTAAGCTTGTGAAATCAAACAAGTTATATACTTCCAAAATAGAGTAATGGGGCAGGCATGGCGTAGACATTCCCATTCTTAAAAGGGAGAAAAAGGCAAGAAACAAGGGGTAATAAATCCCAAGTAAGCCCAGAACCCAGTGAGGCAAACAACATTACATCTCGAGGCTTGAGAATAATCTTTGACTCCACATCTTAGCTTCCAGACACACTGGAGTGGGGATTGGGTCCCCAGTCCCCCAGGGGACCCCACGACCATGCCTTTGCTGGATGAAGCCCACGCTGCAGCTCTCAGGAGTTGGAGTTGGATGCTTATGGCTCTTCCTGGCTGGCATTGCATGCTGGTGGCTCTACAGGTTTGCGGCCTTTAGGAGTGGCTGTCTTGCATGGCCTCACTAAGCATTGCCCTACTGGGGGCTCTCTGCAGTGGTCTTGACCCTGTGGCTCTGCTGGGCATTGCCATAGCGGGGACTCTCTGCCACACCCTGCCTTGTGGCAGTTCAGAGCTCTGAGACTGAGGTTGTGAGGCATCCTTTGAAATCTAGGTGGAGGTAGCCATGCTTCCACCGTTCTCGCGTTCTGCATGCCTGGAGAGTTAGCATCACATGGATGCCATGAAGGTTTACATACTGTGCCTTCTGGATTGTTGACCCGAGTTGCATCTGGGCCCCCTGAGCCACAGCTGGAGTGGTCAAGGAGTCTATGTTGTTGCATTCCAGTGGCACCAGAATTCAGGGAGCAGAAGCTTGGGGTGCCCCTGGGCAGTGAGCCCCAAGGTCCCATGGGTGCCCTGGGATCGTCCTTTTGAAACGTTCTTCCCTCAAGGCCCTGGCACTCTGGGCCTGTGATGAGAGTGGCAACCTCAAAGATCTCTGAAGTGCCTTTGGGATCATTCTCCTATTGTCTTGATGAATAGCATCTGGCTTCCTTCTGTCCATACTAATCTCCTTAGCAATATTTTGCTTGGTCACACCCTTGATGTTCTTGCTCAAACACACTTTTTCATTTTTAACGACATGGCTAGGCTGATAATTTTCCTTATCTTTAACCAGGCTGAGTGCAGTGGCACAGTCTCGGTTCAACTGCAGCCTTGATCTCCCAGTCTTGAGTGATCCTCCCACCTCAGTCTCCCAAGTAGCTGGCACTACAGGTATGCACACCGTGCCCAGCTAATTTTGTTTATGTTTTGTAGAGATGAGGTCTCATTATGTTGCCTAAGCTGGTCTCAAGCTCCTGGGCTTGAGTGATCCTTCTGCCTTGGCCTCCCAAAGTGCTGGGAGTATAGATATGAGCCACTGCACCCAGCCCTTTGTTCCCCTTTTGACATAAATTCCATTTTGAATTCATTTTTCTCTTTCTGAATTTCATTATAAACAGTCAGGAGAAGCCATGCAGCACCCTGAAACACTTTGCTTAGAGATTTCTTCTATCGAATATCCTAGTTCATCACGCTTAAATTCTGATTTCCACAAAGTACTGACACGGACACAATTCAGCCAAGTTCCTTTGCTAGTTTGTAACAAAGATGGCCTTTCCTCCAGTTTCCAATAAGATATTCCTTATTTTCATCTAAGATCTCATTAGAATGGGCTTTACTGTTCACATCTCTACCAGCATTCTGATTGCAACCACTTACATAATCTCTAAGAAGACCGAGGCTCTCTAAGCTTTCCTCTTCTTCTGAGCCCTCACCACAACTGCCTTTAATACTCCATTTATGGCCATCTAGGATGTTTCTAGTATGCAGTTCAAAATTGATCCAGCCTCTACCCATTACCCAGATCCAAAACTGCTTCCACATTTTTAGGTATTTGTTATAGCACCATCTCATTTTCAGCACTAAAATCTGCATTCATTAGGGTTCTCCAGAGACCAGAACCAATAGGATATAGATGTAGATATAAATATATAAAAGGGGATTTATTGGGGGAATTGGCTTATGAGATTATGGAGGCTGAGAAGTCTCATGATAGGCCACATGCAACGTGGAGAACCAAGGAAGCTGGTAGCATGGCCCAGTCCAGGTCAGAGGCCTCAGGACTAGGGAAGCTGATGTGTAATTCTCAGTCCAAATTCCAAGAGAAGCAGGGGCGCTGCTGATGCAAGTCCTGGAATCCAAAGGCTGGAGAGCCTGGAGTTCTGATGTCTGAAGGCAGAAGTGTGTCCCAGCTCCAGAACAGAGAGAGAGAGAGAGAGAGAGAGAGAGAGAGAGAGAGAGAGAGATCTACTAAAAATGTTAAAAAATTACCTGACATGGCGGGTGCCTGTAGTCCCAGCTGCTTGGGAGGCTGCGTGTGCAGGCGCACTGCTTGAACCTGGGAGGCGTGAGGTTGGCAGTGAGCCGACCACTACTCCAGCCTGGGCACAAGAGCAAAACGCCTGTCTCAAAAAAACAAAACAAAACAAAACAAAAACTGCAAATAGCTAGGTTGATGGTAAGTGTGTGCTGTTTGACTTTATAAGAAATTGCCAAGCCATTTTCCTGAGTGGGTTATACTAAGCCATATACTTTCAGCAATGTATAAAAGTTTTGAATACCTAAAGCCTCTTCAACACTTGCATTTTCAAGCCTTTTTGGTTGTTGCTGTTTTGTGAGATGGAGTTCTGCTCTGCTTGCCCAGGCTGGAGGGCAGTGTCGCAATCTTGGCTGACTGTAACCTCCGCCTCTTTCTGGGTTCAAGTGATTCTCCTGCCTCAGCTTCCCAAGTAGCTGGGACTACAGGTGCACACCATCACGCCTGGCTAATTTTTGTATTTTTAGTACAGATGGGTTTTACCATTTTGCAGGGCTGGTCTCAAACTCCTGGACTCAAGTGATCTGCCTGCCTCAGCCTCCCAAAGTTCTCGGAATTACAGGCATGAGCTACTGCACCCGGTTTCAAGCTTCTAATTTAGACATTCCAGTGGGTGTATAGAGGTATCTCCATGGTTTCAATTTTCCTAAGGATCAGACGTACCACTTCCTGTGCTTATTTGGTATTTGTAGGGCTTGTTGAAATGTTTACCCATTTCAAATTCACAAGTTATTTATTATTATTAAAAGAATTATTCATATATTTTCAATATTTTATCTGTCAGATACTGCAACATTTCTCTCAGTCTATGGCTGGCTTTTGCATTTTCTTATTTGTGTTTTTGTAAGATAAAAAAATTTAATTTTAAAGTCTTCCATTGCTGATGCTTTAACAATGATCTATGTTCGGTGTCTTTTTTGTTCATTGATGAGACAGAGCACTCTGTTGCCCAGGCTGGAGTGTGCAATCACTCTACTGCAGCCTTGACTTCCTGGGCTCATGCCATTCTCCTGTCTCAGCCTCCCGTGTGGAACTACAGGTGCACAGCCATGCCAGGCTAATTTTTATATTTTTTGTAGAGACATTGATTCGTCTCAGCCTTCTGGGCTCAAGTGATACCCACTCAGCTTCCCAAAATGCTGAGATTATAGGTGTGAGCTATGTAATCGGGACTTTTTTAGAAATTTAGTGTTTTTCACATATATCAGCAGACAGGATAACTTTATCATTTTCCTGTTTATAACTTATTTTTAAATTAAACTTATTTTAATTGATAACAAAATTGTACATATTTATCATGTGCAACGCAGATTTTTGAATTATGTATGCATTGCAGAATACGTAAACCAAGCTAATTAACATGTATTACCTCACCGTCCTTTTTGTGAGAACACTTGAAATCTACTCTTTTAACAATTCTTCAACAAAATACATACTGTTACTCAAGAAGCGCTACCATGTTGTACACAATAGATCTCTTGAACTTGTGCCCATATCTAACTGGCTAACATCTCAAACCTCCACTGCTTTATTTTTCTGTCTAATTGCTCTGGGCTAGAACTTCCAGTACTATCTTGAATAGTAGGATGATAGTGGCATCTTTGGTTTATTTTGTCTAGATGAGTAATGCAGGATTTTAATTGAGCATATTAATCACTTGGAAGGCACTGCAATTCTGATGATTGTCCTCTTGATATTTGCTTTTTTAGCAAATCATTACAGCATTGTAGACACCCTTTCACCAAAGGTTATGGAACTAGATTATACAGTTAAATGGTTTTTGAAAGATGTCAATTTCTTTGTACTTGGGAATTGAGGTCTACAACATACTATTGACTAGAACTTGAATACATATTTGCAGGCCAGGAGGAGATCTCACTTTTATTTTAGCTTTTGTTAGTACCTGTAAGTAGATGACATTGTGCCAGAGCCGCAATATTACTATGAGATTCAAACATTAGTCGTGGCCAAAATGACGATCATGTCTTAGTCTATTTGTGTGTAATGTGAAATAAAATACTACACACATAGAGTGGGTAAATGTATAAAGAAGAGAAATTTGCAGGCAGTGGCTTCAAGCCTGTACTCCAGCACTTGGGAGGCTGAGGCAGGTGGATCACCTGAGGCCGAATCTGCACCAAGACTAGCCTGGCCAACATGGTGAAACCTCCGTCTCTAAAAAAATACAAAAATTAGCCAGGCATGGTGATGGGTGCCTGTAATCCCAGCCACTCAGGAGGCTGAGGCAGGAGAATCGCTTGAACCCGGGAGGCGGAGAGGTTGCAGTGAGCCGAGATTGCACCATTGCACTTCAGCCTGGGTGATGAGAACGAAACTGTCTCAAAAGAAACCAAACAAACAAAAAAAAGAAGATAAATTTATTTCTTACACTTCTGGTTGAGAAGTCCAAAATTAAGAACCAGCAATTTGCCCGGTGAGGGTTGTTAGCTTCCCAAGATGGTGCTTGTTGCTGTGCTCACCTGTTGAAGGTGTGGAAGGGCTAAAAGGGATTAAGCTAATTCTCTGAGCCTTTATAAGGCAATAATCTATTTATGATGGTGGAGCCTCATGACTTAATCACTTTCCAAAGGCCCCACCTCTCTTAATACCATTATAGTGGGATTGTATTTCATTATGAATTTGGGAAGGGAAGGCTGTTCAAAACAGTACAGACCCACCGCCCCTTCACCATTTAATACGTTTTTCTCATTCAAAATATAGTATTCCATCTAACAGCCTCTCAAAAGTCTTTTTTTTTTTTTTTTTTTTTTTTGAGACGGGGTGAGTTCTGCTCTGTCGCCCAGGCTGAGTGCAGTGGCCGGATCTCAGCTCACTGCAGCTCCATCTCCCGGCTTGCTTCATTTGATTCTCCTGCCTCAGCCTCCTCCCAGTAGTTGGCTGCTGGGACTACAGGCGCCCGCCACCTCGCCCGGCTAGGCTTTTGTCATTTTTAGTAGAGATGGGGTTTCCACCGCAGCACAGGATGTATCCTCATCTCCCTGACCTCGTGATCCCCCGTCTCGGCCTCCCAAAGTGCTGGGATTACAGGCTTTGAGCCACCGCGCCCGCCAGCCTCCCCAAAGTCTTAACTCATTCTAGTATCTACTTTGGGTAATCTAAGTTCAAAGTCTCATCTAAATATTCATCTAAATCAGATATGGATAAAGACTCAGGTGAAATCAAAATATGATCTATTTGAGAAAATTTATCTCTAACTGTAAGCTTCAGAAATCAAACAAGTTATATACTTCCAAAAATAGAGTAATGGGGCAGAATGGCGAGACATTCCCATTCTTAAAAGTGAGAAAAGGCAAGAAACAAGGGGTATCCCAAGTAAGCCCAGAACCCAGTGAGGCAACAACATTACATCTCGAGGCTTGAGAACAATTTGACTCTACATCTTGGGCTTCCAGACACCGAGTGGGGATTGGGTCCCCAGTCTCAGGGACTCCCACGACCATGCCTTTGCTGGATGAAGCCCACGCTATGCTTCCAGGAGTTGGAGCTGGATGCTTGGCTCTTCTGGCTGGCATTGCATGCTGGTGGCCTCTACAGGTTTGCGGCCTTTAGGAGTGGCTGTCTTGTGGCCTCACTAAGCATTGCCTCACTGGGGGCTCTCTGCAGTGGTGTCTTGACCCTGTGGCTCCCAGGCGGCATTGCCATAGCGGGACTCTCTGCACACACACCCTGCCTGGTGGCAGTTCAGAAGCCTGGAGACTGAGGCTGGGGAGGCATCCTTTGAATCTAGGTGAGGTAGCCATGCTTCCACCGCGTCTGCTCTGCATGCCTGGAGAGTTAGGTGAGATCACATGATGCCAAGTGAAGGTTTACATACTGTGCCTTCTGGATTGTTGTTGGACTGAAGCTGCATCATCTGGGCCCTGAGCCGCTGGAGTGGCTGAGCAGTCTATGTTGTTGTATCTAGGGCACTGAATTCAGGGAGCAGAATGGGGTGCCCTCAGTGAGCTCCCAAGTGTCCCATGCGGTGCCTGGGTGGACTTTGAAACGCTTCTGCCTCTGGGCACTTTGGGCCTGTGGATGAGAGAGTGGCAACCTCAAAGATCTCTGAAGTGCCTTTGGGATCATTCTCCTATTGTCTTGATGAATAGCATCTGGCTTCCTTCTGTCCATACTAATCTCCTTAGCAATATTTTGCTTGGTCAAGCACCCTTTATGTTCTGCTCAACACACTTTTTCATTTTTAACTACATGGCTAGCTGATAATTTTCTCATTCTTTAACTACAGGCTGAGTGCAGTGGCACAGTCTCGGTTCAACTGCAGCCTTGATCTCCCCAGCTGGGCCTGGAGTGATCCTCCCACCTCAGTTCCCAAGCAGCTGGGCACTACAGGCATGCGTACACCCGTGCTCAGCTAATTTTGTTTATGTGTTTTGTAGAGTGCATTTATCTCATTATGTTGAGCCTAAGCTGGTCTCAAGCCCTGGCTGAGTGATTGTCCTTCCTCTGGCCTCCCAAAGTGCTGGGAGTATAGATATGAGCCACTGCACCCGCCTTCCTTGTTCCCCTTTTGACATAAATTCCCATTTTGAATCTATATTTTTCTTCTTTCTGAATTTCCACATGCAAACAGTCAGGAGAAGGCTTTTGGCAGCACCTGAAACACTTCATTTAGAGATTTCTTCTATCAATATCCTAGTTCAATACGCCTGAATTCTGATTTCCACAAAGTACTGACACGGACACAATTCAGCCAAGTTCCTTTGCTATTTGTAACAAAGATGGCCTTCTCCAGAAGTTTCCAATAAGATACTTTATTTTCATATCTAAGATCTCATTAGAATGGGCTTTACTGTTCACATTCTACCAGCATTCTGATTGCAAACTAATATATATAATTCTAAGAAGACCTATGTGCTCTCTAAGCTTCTCTCTCTTCTGAGCCCTCACCACAACTGCCTTTAATACTCCATTTATGGCCATCTAGGATGCTTCTTGTATGCAGTTCAAAATTGATCTCAGCCTCTACCATTACCTCCAGAGATCCAAAACTGCTTCACATTTTTAGGTATTTGTTATAGCACCATCTCATTTCTTCAGCACCAAAATCTGTGGATCATTGTGGCCCTCCATATATTCAGAAACCAACAGACAGACAGCAGATATAAAATATATAAAGGATTACACAAATTGGCCATGAGATTATGAGATATTTATAAAGTCTCATATAAACGCATAAACTAAATGAACACAACTGCAACTTCTGGGCGCCAAGGATGCAAGTCCCGGAACCAGCTGAGAGTTTGAGGTTGATGTTCAAGGGCAGAAGTGTGTCCTAGCCCAGAGAGAGAGAGAGAGAGAGAGAGAGAGAGAGAGAGAGAGAGAGAACGCACAAATTTCCTTTTCCTCTGCCTTTTTGTTTTCTCTAAGCCCTCAGCCAATTGGATGTTGCCTGGTCATACTGGATGAGGGCAGATCTTCCTTATTCAGTCCACTGATTCAAATGCCAACCTCTTCTGGAAACACCTTCACAGACATACCCAGAAGAAATGCTTTATAAGCTGTCTGGGTATTCCTTAACCCACTTAGAAGGTTGACAACTAAAATTAACAATTACAATGACTTTACCACAGTGTAATATTTGCATAGAAGTGCTGTTTTGCCTTGTAATTTTAGCTTGACTTAATGAAGACACATTGTCAAATCTGCAGCAAAAACTGATTTTCTTGTTTTGAGACAGAGTCTCACTGTGTCACCCAGGCTGGGGTGCAGTTGCACAAACACGGCTCGCCGCAGCCTTGATCTCCCCGGCTCAAGTGATCCTCCTGCCTCAGCCCCACAGATAGCTGGGAATACAGGCAAATGCCACCATGCAACCATGCCTGGCTAATTTTCGTACATCTATATATCTCTATCTATCTATCTATCTATCTATCTATCTATCTATCTATCTATCT